ATAAATCACATAGGCCAGGTGACACTTGTAAGGATGAGCAGGCATGAGAAAGGCTCAGCCTTTTGGGCATGAGAGATTCTCAGCATTTGAATGCAGGCCAGAGTGGATCTTATATACACTAAAGTAACTTTGGGTGGCCAGAGGAGGGGGCTGAGAAAAAGGTCTAGGTAAGGATTCTGATTGGAAGGTCTGAGAGATGGAATAGACAATGGGAATAGATAATGAAGGGAACTGGAAGGAATCTGCATAAGATCAGAAGGTGGGGCTAGGGCTTTCAAAAGGAGATAAGGGGAGTCAATAAGGAAAAGTTTAAGGGTTTTCTGGGGTGTAGACAAATGGGAGCCAAATTCTCTTTGGTGAAAGAGGCAAAAAGTCTCAGCTTCTGAGACCAGCTATTCACAATGTGAGAGCTCTTTGTACTCTCTCAACCTGCCATAAATAGTCATAGCTTCATATTCCGAAATGTTTTCCATACCAATCAATAGCCAATACCCAGAAATTAGAATACATACACTAGCCTCCTTGTTGTTCATTTATTTCACTCATATCCAACTCTTTGTGATACCATCTGAGGTTTTTCTTGGCAAAGATACTGGAGTGGTTTGCCATTTCCTTCTATAACTCATTTTACAGATGAGAAAAATGAGGAAAATGGGGTTAAGTGACTTGCCCAGGGTCATACAGCTAGTATATGTCTGAGGCCAGATTTGAACTCAGAAAGGTGAGTCTTCCTGACTCCAGCCTGGCACTCTATCCACTGATCCATCTAATTACTCCTACTAGCCTGCTGTCCCTCCTCAATAAAATATAGTCCAAGAAAAACTGAAAATAATGTTAGTGAACATTTATATAGCATCTACTATGTGTTAGGCATTGCAGTAAGTACTTTACAAATATTATCTCAATTGATCCTCACAACAACTCTGGGAGGTAGGTATTATTATTATACCCATTTTACAGATGAGGAAACTGAGGTAAACAGAGGTTAAATGACTTGCCCAGGTTCATACAGTTAGTAAAGTATCTGCTAGGTTTGAACTCAGGTCTTCCTGACTCCAGACTCAGTGCTCTATTGTAAAAGTTTGTGTCAAGGAATTAAACACAGCAAATACAAACATTTTTCTTGCCCAGGACTCTGTTTCGGCATGTTTTGGGTGGGAGAAAAGGCCTTTCACAGAAGGGCCTTATCATGATATTTGTTTTCATGAAATAGATAATTTTAAAGCTGATTCTTGTTGCATCTTACACTAAAGTTTAAATTGTAATTTTAAAATATTCTAAGTTGTATTTTCAGTACAAATAAACCAGAGAATAAAATGTTATAATGCCCTGTTTTTTAAAACTTCAGATACAACAACTCTTTCTTGAAATAAAAATAATAATCTTTCTAACAAATATAAATTGAAATTATAATTTAAGAAAATGAAATCAAATGGAGCTTACATTTCAAATGCTGATACAAACATAATATTTTCACATTAAAAATTTAACCACACTTTCCCCCCACTATTTTATATGCAGTTTAAACACATACCAAACATGGAAAGGTCAAAATTAAAATATTCCAGTCTACAAACAAACTATCCAGCACCTAACGTGATGTTATAGAACTGAAGACATTATTTTACACCATACGATGAGCTAGAGAGCATTCACACTTCAATGTCAACTGTCAATCTGTCCCTTCTTTAGACAGGTGAACTTTTCAATTCAAATTTATTATGGTTACAGTCATAACACTACTGATTACAATATATTTTAAAGACAAATTTGAAGAAGTAGTGGTTTATTTTGTGAATTTTCAAGAATTTTGGTAAAACTACCAGAATTTTAAGTAGGCAATGCAATACATATTATAAATTCTAAGAAGTAAATACATGATGTCACAAGCAATTAGCTACTCAGAACAAGAGAATATGTGACTCTTATAAACATTTGAAGACTGAAAAATAATATTTTAGTTAAGGCAAAAAAGATTTTGTACGATTAATAAAAGAAAATATTTTAAAATTGTTGATTTCATAGTTTCATAATATGACATATTAGGTAATAGTAGCACATGCATATAATTTATAAATAAACATACTTTTTTTCTTTTTATTTAATTTTCTTTTTTTAAATTTTTATTTAAAAATTTTTTTTTTCCATATGCTTTTGAGTTGAAAATTTTTATCCCTTTTTCTCCCCCCCACCCTCCCCAAGACAGCACACAATCTCACATAGGCTTTACATTTACATACCCATTAAACATATTTTCACATTAGTGAAGTTGTAAGTAAAAATTAAAACCAATAGGAGGAACCATCAGAAAGATGAAACAAAACTCAACAGAAGGTAAAAATAAGTGAGAGCGATTCGACTTCCATAGTTCTTTCTTTGGATGTGGACAGCATTTTCCATCCCAAGGCCTCTGGAGATGTCTTAGATCCTTGTAATGCTGAGAAGGGTTCAGTTTAACATTCTTAGTCATTGCATAACATGGCTGCTATTGTGTACAAAGTCCTCTTGGTTCTGCTCACTTCACTCAGCATCAGACCATATAAGTCTTCCCAGGTTTTTCTGAAGTCAGCCTGTTCATCATTTCTTATAGCACAATAGTATTCCATTACATTCCCCAATTGATGGGCATCCTCTCAATTTCCAATTCTTTGCCACCACAAAAAGAGCTGCTATGAATATTTTTGTACATGTGGGTCCTTTTCCCATTTGTTTGATCTCTTTGGGATATAGCCCTAGAAGTGCTATTGCTGGATCAAAGGGTATGCACATTTTCGTAGCCCTTTGGGCATAGTTCCAAATTGTTCTCCAAAATGGCTGGATCATTTCACAACTCCACCAACAATGTATTAGTGTTCCAATTTTCCCACATCCTCTCCAACATTTATCATTTTCCTGTTTTGTCATGTTGGCCAATCTGATAGGTGTGATGTGGTACCTCAGAGTTGTTTTGATTTGCATTTCTCTAATCAATAATGATTTAGAGCATTTTTTCATATGACTATAGATGGCTTTAATTTCTTCATCTGAGAACTGTCTGTTCATATCCTTTGACCATTTATCAGTTGGGGAATGGCTTGTGTTCTTATAAATTTGTCTTAATTCTCTATATATTTTAGAAATGAGACCTTCATCAGAAAGACTGGATATAAAAATTCTTTCCCAATTTTCTACCTTCCTTCTAATCTTAGTTGCATTGGCTTTGTTTGTGCAAAAACTTTTCAATGTAGTGTAATCAAAATTATCCACTTTGCTTTTCATAATGTTCTCTATCTCCTGTTTGGTCATGAATTCTTCTGTTCTCCATAGATCTGATAGGTAAACTATTCCTTACTCTCCCAGTTGGCTTATAGTATCAGCCTTTATATCTAAATCGTGAACCCATTTTGACTTTATTTTGGTATATGGTGTGAGATTTTTGATCTATGCCTAGTTTCTGCCATACTCTTTTCCAGTTTTCCCAGCACTTTTTTTCAAAGAGTGGGTTCTTATCCCAGAAGCTGGGGTCTTTGGGTTTATCAAATAATAGATTACTATAGTCATTGACTACTGTGTCTTGCATACTTAACCTATTCCACTGATCCACTACCAAGCAGTTTTGATGATTGTTGCTTTATAATACAATTTAAGATCTGGAATGGCTAGGCCACCTTCCCTTGCATTTCTTTTCATTAGTTCCTTTGATATTCTAGACCTTTTGTTCTTCCAAATGAATCTTGCTATTATTTTTTCTAGCTTTATAAAATAATTTTTTGGTAGTTTGATTGGTATGGCACTAAATAAGTAAATTAAGTTAGGTAGAATTGTCATCTTTATTATATTAGCTCGGCCTGCCCATGAGCAACTGATGTTTTTCCAATTATTTAGACTAACTTTATTTGTGTGAAAAGTGTTTTGTAATTGTGTTCATATAGTTCCTGGGTTTGTTTTGGGAGGTAGACTCCTAACTATTTTATAATGTCTATAGTAAGTTTAAATGGGATTTCTCTTTCTATCTCTTGCTGTTGGGCTTTGTTGGTAATATATAGAAATGCTGATGATTTATGTGGGTTTATTTTATAGCCTGCAACTTTGCTAAAGTTGTTTATTATTTCAAGTAGTTTTTTACTTGATTCTCTAGGATTCTCTAAGTATATCATCATATCATCTGCAAAGAGTGATAGCTTTGTTTCTTCTTTGCCTATTCTAATGCCTTCAATTTCTTTTTCTTCTCATTGCTAAAGCTAAGGAATAAACATACTTTTTTACTAATAGGGATGCACATTGGCTTAGGCTAAGGTGACTTGCCCTTGGTCAAGCCACTAGCGTATGTCAGGGGCCAATCCGTTATCAGTCAAGTTGTCTCTCAGCAGCTCCTAACGTAGAACTGAAACTTGTCTTCTTACACATGATATCCTCTACCTCTAGTTCCCCACCTCCTCCCCACTGCTCCTCCCCTCACAACAGAGAAGTTCCGGGAAAAAAGTGTATTTCTAAATCTAAATCTACAATTTCTAAGGTTTCAAAGAGAGTAATTGAGGTATCTAGTCCAAGTGGCTTAGTGGAGAGAGCAATGGAGTCTGGAAGACCTGGCTGTGTGACCTTGGGCAAGTCATTCAAATTTTGTGTGCCTCAGTTTCCTTGACTGTCAAATGGAGATGATAAAAGTACCCACCTCCCTGGGTTGTTGTAAGGATTAAATGTGATAATATTTGTAAAGCACTTGGTATAATGTTTGCTGTTGTAGTTTCTTTGTTTTGAAGAGGACCAAAGATGTCAAGAAGGTGATGCCCTGCCATGCATGTGAATTGCGCACAGTAGGTACTTCATAAATGCTCATTTGCTTCCTTTCTTTCTTTGTATGGTTGGTCCCATCCCAAGAGTATTTTGGGGGTGGGAGGGAAAGAAATCCTTGGAGCAGGAGCATGACATTGGCAGGTCAAGCCAGCACACACCCACTTCATCCCACTGTCGCAGAGAACATCTTTAATGTTTTTGGCCGTCATTTTTTCTCCTCCATACAGAGGACTTTGTGGATCCAAAGAAAAGCCACCTCAATAGAGTTCTCAGCTCGGGGGTGGCTCTGCAGCCAAGGCAGGCCTTGGAGGAGGGCTCTCCCGGTTGCTGGAAAAATCATGCAAAGGTAGTAACCTGTTCTGTCATCCTCAGTATGTGGTCCCCTCAGCTGAGAGTCTGGCCCCAGGATCCTGGGGCAGGGTGAAAGTCCTGGGACACTGTGGAAAGTCCCAGGGACTCATCCTTATGCACCAAGAAATGGAGGGACCCCCTACCCCCACTGTGAAGCTAGCTACCTTAGCTCCCAACTGGAAGGTTTTCCCATATGGTGGTCTTCTGCCACCAGCCTTCACGCTACATTTCCACAGCCCTTGCACCACCTTCACACCATACAACCCAGGACAAATGGCTGGCTTAATTTGGGTATATTTGGATGTTCCCACATCCCATACCATATATTCCATATAAATAAGGTAACAATTGCTTATTTGCACAGGTCATTCATAGTTAATATGTTTTATTTGATATATTTCATTTATATTTTAATAATTTTTGTAGCTTTTGCATGATGAGCAGGGTCCTCCAAAGCTCTCCCAGGTCTAAGGGTAGTATTAAACAAGCATTTATTAAGTGCCTACTAAGTGCCAGCAATTGGGCTAAACTAGCGATGGAGAACCTGCAGCCTCGAGGCCACGTGTGGTCCTCTAGGTCCTCAAGTGTGGCTCTTTGACTGGATCAAAACTTCACAGAACAAATCCCCTCAATAAAAGGATTTGTTCTGTAAAACTTGGACTCAGTCAAAAGGCCTCACCCAAGGACCTAGAAGGCCACAGGTGTCCTCGAGGCCACAGGTTCCCCACCCCTGGGCTGGACATGGGATAGAAAGACAAAGATGAAATAGTCCCTGCCCTCTGGAAGCTTACATTCTATTTGGAAGAAGCAACAGTAGTGACAGTATGGTTGAGTTCCAGAGAGCAACAGAGAGGATGGGACTTCAGCAAATGGGGGCTATGGAGACCAGTCGCAGTATATGCAGCACCAGATAGCTTCAGTGGATGCTGAGGACGGTAGCAAAACAGTGAACTTGGGAGTCTCAAATAGCATTTATATATGCTTTCAGGTTTGCAAAGCACTTCACAAATATGATCCCATTTTATCCTTACAACAATCCCTGGGGGCAAGTGCTACTAACACCCCCATTTTACAGATAAGGAAAACCTCACTTGATCCTTCTATCCCCACTCTGGTCCTATATCTCTTTTGCCCTTAATGGTAAAACTCTTTGAGAAAGTCATCTGCAGCAGTTGCCTCCCCTTCCTCTCTTCTCACTCTCTTCTCAATTCCTTGCAAGTGACTTCCAACATCATCATCCCACTGAAGCTGTTCTCTCCAAAGTCACCAACAATCCCCAATTGCCCGGTCTAATGGCCTTTTCTCAATCTTCAACCTTCTTGACCTCCCTGAGGCCTTTGATGCTCAGTCACCCTCCTGTCCTCTGTCCTCTCATCTCTCTACCTCTTCTGGTTCTCCTCCTACCTATCCAAACGAACCTCCTCTGTGTCCTTTGCTGGATCCTCGTCCAGGCCATGCTCACTAATAATGGGGATCCCACTGGACTCTGTCTGGGGCTCCCATCTCCCCTTCCTCTGTATTATGTCACTTTTTGATCTCATCAGGTCCCAGGGATGCAATGATTATCTTTATGCTGATGATTCTTAGATCCACCAATCCAGCCCTAACCTCCCTCTCACATCTCCAAATGCCTTTCAGATATCTCGAGCTGGATGTCCAGTAGACATTTTAAATTTCACATGTCCAAAACTGAACTAATTATCTTTCCCCTTAAACCTTCTTCCCATGCAAACTTTCCTTTTACTGTTAAGGATGCCACCTTCCTCCCAGTGCCTCAGGCTCATTATGTAGGAGTCATCCTGGATCCTTGCTATCTCTCACGGCAGCCTCCCACAGCTCAAGGCCTATTGGATTCACCTTTGCAACATCTCTCGAATACACACCCCTTCTCTTGGCTGACACTGCCACCACTCCTTGCAGGCCGTCATCGCCTCATGCCTGCTGATGAGTCTGCCTGCCTTGTCTTTTCCCTGCTCCAATCCATCCTCCACTCGGCTGCCAAAGTGCTTTTCCATCTGACCAGGTAGCTACCCTACTCAGGAAACTCTGGGATCAACTACAAAATGCTCTGCTTGGTGTTCAAAGCCTTCATATCCTAGTCCCCTCCTCCAACCTTTCAGGTTTGAACTCTTACACTCCCCCAGATACTCTTCAATCCAATACACCGGCCTCCTGGCCACTCCATCTCTCTGCGATAGGCACTGCTCTGACTGTCCCCCAGGCTAGAAGGCTTCCTCTCCTTCACCTTTTGTCTTCTGGCTTCCCTGGCTTCCTTTAAGTCCCAACTTAAACCCCATCTTCTAAGGAAGCCTTTCCCAATTCCTCCCTTCTCAGTTATTCCCTATTTGTCCTGTATATAATTGTTTGTTTGCTGTCTCTCTCATTAGACTGCAAGCTCCTTGAGGGCAAGGACTATCATGCCTTTCTTTGTATCCCCAGCACTTAGCACAGTGCCTGGCACTTAATACTTTCATATTGATTGACTGACTGAAACAGACAGTAGTGACTAGCCAAGGGTTATGCAACTAGTATGGGCCTGAGGCTGGACTCACATCTTACTGATCCCAGATCTTGTGCTCTGTCCAATGTGCCACCCAGCTTCCTTGGGATTCAGGTCAAAGCACCAATGACAAGGGAGCTTCAAGAGATGGAGCCAACATGCATTGAAGTCCCTGGGAGATGGAACCTTAAGGACTCAGGTGGGAGAAATCTTATAGCTATGACATGAGGCCATGGCAGCCTCAACACTCTCCTACCTTGGATTATGAATTTTCTGGGAATATGCTTGTGGAGGCAGGTCCTAACCCTTTCCTAACCAGCATGTTTGTCGGTGGGAGATTTGTACTCATTTGTATAAAGGAGGGGATGGAAATTATTCTACTGCTTGCCTTTTCCCTTCAGTGTTCCATCTCAATTAAATGTGTTGCCATTTGATTTACAGTTGCTGCCTGGTCTATTAATAGAGTAGGCACTGGATGGGGACTTTAGGCATATATTAACTCCACATTGATCCCAGGAACACATGGGCATTATGGAGTAAGTGGAGCATATGTGTTCCATTTGCATTATGCTCCCACCAGGCCATGGAGAAACAATTTTATTGTAGTATCTGCATATCAAAAAGAAGAGAGGTGGCACCCAGCTTTCTGTGGGGTCCCCTCTGCTGGAAGTCTTACATTGGCTTTAATGAGGTTTCTGCCTTCACCATATTTGTTTCTGTGCTTGTATATATTTTAAAAGCTCAATATGACTCAGTCCATAAATCAGTCCGTCACCAAGCAATCAGCAGCTAGGATATGGCAGGCAACCAACCTCATGTGACCCTAGACTGCATTAAGGGCATCGCAGGGTCCAGAACAAGGAAGATGAAAGGCTTGTTGGTAGTGACCATTACTCTGTCCAGACCTCAGAGTACTGAAGTATCGAGTTCATTTTTGGCACCGCATCTTAAGTACATTGACCATCTGGAGAACTTCCAAAGGAGGGCAGTTAAGATGGCGAGAGAATTAGAGAGTGTGCCATGCAAGAGCTGGCTGGTGAAGCTGGGTATGCTTAGCCTGGAGAAGACAGTGGGAACATGATCGGCCTTGAAAGCATTTGAAAGGTTGTTCCTGGGAAGAGAGATTAGGTTTGTTCTCTTTTGGTCCCAGACGGCAGAACTCTAGGGCCAGTGGGTGGAATGTTTCAGCTCGATAAAAGGACAATGTTTCTAATGGAGCTGATCAGTGGTAGAATGGACTGTTCCAATTGGTGGTGAATTCCAGATATGGGGGAAGGGGGAGGATAGTTACCCTCTGCTTCCACTTCCACAGCTGATGAGTGGTCCATGTACCAGAGGACAGTCAGGGGTGGGAGGTCAGGAGTGTGTCCAGAAGGAATGTCACACTCTTCTCTCCTCAACTTATTGACCAGAGGGTGACCTAGTATGCATCAAAAGGTTAGAATATTTGGACTTTCCTTCCCAGTTGGTACCAATGTTTCAGGAGTAATAGAAGCCCAAGGAACTAAATTAAATTAATTATTAATTTATTAATTATTATATAAATTAATTAAGCTAAATTAAACTAACACTCCAAGGAAAGGCAGCTCCAGGAAGCATGACCTCTTTGGGATGAAAAGAATTATAGTTGTGGACTCTACAAAGACACTCGCTCTCAGAGACCAACAGAAAACTATCCCTCGGGGGAACTTCACATGGATTCTATCAAGAGAGAAAAGAACTTCTAATAATCAGGAATTTTGAATTACTGCTTTGACACATATACTCCCAAAGTTGGAGTTCCATTTCTCCTTGCACTCTGTATAGATTTGTGGGAGATTGTATGCCAGACTCTTAGGGGGGTTGGTTTTATACTAACTGTTCTGACTATGACTGCTTAGTAAATACTGCTAACTAAAAAGTAATTAAAACTCACTGACTAATTGATAACTATGAGGAGCACAATATCTATGAGGGCTTGTGAGCAAAATTGCTAGGACTCCACCCTCCCTTCCACTCCCACAAAGCCCTCCAACTCTGAAGGGAAGAAGAGTTGATTGCTATCTGGGGATATGAGCTACCAATGTGAGTGGAAATTGAGAAGTAATCCCAAAGGGGGTGCTACAAAGTGACCCGAGAATATATGCGGTAGGAAAAGCTGGAAGTATGTCCGGAGCAGAGAACTGAATAGCATCGGGGGAGGCTAATGTGGCTGGAGGAGGAAACAACGTCCAATCCATATAGAAATGGATACTCTTGTGGAAAAACAGACTGGCCAAGGTTTGTCAAGTACAAAGTGTCCCATTTGACTGGACATTGACCCCCTGGAATGTGTGGCTGTGAGTAAAAAAAAAAGCCTTGGGGGATACCTATGGAGGGATACCAGATGGTAAGCTGCGGGAGAGGGCTGAATCTAAGCATCCGGTGTTCCTGAGAATCCTGGATTTGGGCCATGCCTTTGGATTGCTTTGGGTCTGGGAGGAGCCTTGAGTAGGCCTCCTTATAGTTGTTTATTGAGCCAACAATATAGTTGTTTTAATGTATTTGATTTTTATTCTTTTTTGCTCCTTTATGAGTAAAGAACTGAATATAGTCAAACCATATTGGTGTGAATGACTCCATGGAAATGCAGAAAGGAAAGGAAGAGGAGGAAGTTTCCTGGTCAATAGAGGCACCACAAATTATCCAGGTCTAATTAGATAAATCAAAAACACCACATCTCTGGACTGACAAGGTGAGCACTGATACCCACAAAAAGAATGGACCGGGGGATAGCATAGCCAGCTCCCTGAGACCCAGAGCAAGCCCTCGGGTTCTGGGGACATCCTCTCAGGGTGAGCATGTGACTGCCAGTGTTTGGGCTTATTACTGAACAAGATCAGTCAACTGGGCATCAGCACCCTCTGGCGGCTAAATGTGGGGGCCCGTTAGAGTGTCATACTTATGGAACGCAGGAGTTCAAAATATTTTGGAATTCTCACAGATCACTGGGTTCAATGAGGCAGACGATATGTGGCTCAAGTCGCTAGTCACTACTCTAGCAAGAGACCAGATAGAACTTGTAAATGAAAAACAGTGAGGAATGTAGTTATGCTTCATTTCAATCCTCCTGGTCCCTACTCCCACCCAGGTGTCAGGTCAGCTTTACTCATAAAACTGAAAGGCTTGTCCACCTTTCTAGCATAGGAGCTAGAAAGACGCTTAGGATGCACCCAGCATGCAGATGTATACGAGGGAAGAAGGAAGAATGGGAGAGTTTCTGCATTCTTGGTCCTGCCCTTGATCCTGATTTCACTCTCTCATAAATGATAAGCATGCAGGGCAGCTAGCTGGCACAGCGGGTAGCACACCGGCCCTGAAGTCAGGAGGACCTGAGTTCAAATCCAACCTCAGATCAAACACTTGACACTTGCTAGCTGTGTGACTCCGGGCAAATCACTTAACCCCAATTGCCTAAAAAAAAAAATGATAAGCATGCAATGCGGAGTGATGAGGGTCGTATTGAGGGTAGCTGATGAACCAGCCACGCTGGCAAGTAGTCAGAAGGAAGGTTTGGGAGCAGTAATAAAAAAAAAAACAAAACCCATGGGAGATGCCTTGTATCCTTAGTCCTCTGACTAGATGTTGACTTTCTGGGAACTTTGGCCATTAATGAAATAGCTTGGGGTGTGGGTGGGGAGGATGCCTTCTAGCTCTCTGTAAATTTTGCTGGAAGGGAGGCTGGAATCCAAGTACCTGAACTATATTTCTTGAATTCCTCGGTTTTCTTTGGACATTGCTTACAGACAATGGGGAGGTTTGAATCTAAGCACTTCATGGGTACCCCTTTAAACTCATGGTTTCTCTTGCTTGTAGACCAAAAAGTATCATATGGTGCAGCTAGGTGGTACAGTGGATAGACTGTCAGATCTGGAGTCAGGAAGACCTGAGTCCAACTTCAGCCTCAGACACTTACTAGCCGTGTGACCCTGGGCAAGTCACTCAACCCTGTTTGCCTCTGTTTCCTCATTTGTAAAATGAGCTGGAGAAGGAAATGGCAAACCACTCTAATATCTTCACCAAGAAAATGGCAAATGAGGTCACAAAAGAGTCAGACATGACTGAAATGACTGAACATATATTTATATTTTGTATTTTAACATGATTTTCATTACTTTACTTTTGATTACAAGTAAAGAATTCTGTATACTTAAGCCATTCTTGCTTGCCTCTATAATGTCATACTTTATATTAGTTTCCATGAAAATGCAGAAGGGAAAGGAAAACAATGCAATTTTCTGGTGGGTGGGGGCATTATAAGCCATAAAAGTCTAATTGTATGATGCACACACAACCACACACACCCCACATTCCTACACTAAAAAAGCAATCATTACCACCAACATAAGGGCTACAGATCAGAGATGGTGCTTGCTGGCTTTCTCAGAGCCATAGAGCTTTTGACATTATCCTCTGCACCCTCTGGTGCTTGGCAGACTGCTTTAGCTGTCAGGACGAACGTGGGACTTCCCAGCATCTGACAAATAGTGGGGAAATATGGGTGGAGAAAGAATTCATTTCCAAGAATTCCAAGAATTCATTTCTGGCCTTTGCCAGAGGAGCAAAGTATATTTGGGACTACAAGTAACTAGAGATTCACTTTGGGATTAATGGTTAATCCATCAAGATCTCTGTTTTGTTTTCTTCCTTTGAATAAATCTTTATCCTATAACACTATGAACAGTATGCCTGCCAGTGCGGATTGCACCTCAGTGGACCAAGGATTGGCATTATCATGCCTTGGAGTGAGAAAATCCTCCAAAAGATTCCTGGGCCCTCCACGTCATGAAAGACTCTTTGACACAAGCATTACACTCCCACTTTACAAAAAAATCGTAACTAGGTGATTCTCAGAGAAGAGCCACGTGGCTGGCTCAAAGCCCTACGACTTTTAAGTGCCAGACCCCCAGATCCAGGACTTCAGTTCTAAGCTTCTTTCTCTCTTTCCATTTCCCAATGCCTGAGAAAACCAGACTCCCACTTACTCTGGCCTGGTGAGGTGGCGAGGGAACTTAGGACTGGTCCTTCTTCCAGGTGCCCACATGGGAAAAGCCAGAGACCTGCTTCTGAGAGAAGACAGTCTGTGAAGCTCTTCCCATGGGCTGCAGACTGAAACAGGCTACGTCTTTAAAACTATCAGACTGGGACAGAATTTTTCCCTTTCCAGCTGTGTCCCAGACTGAATGTCCTATCCGTGCACAACACAGGTGCCATGAACTTCACTGGGGGGGGGGGAAGGCTACCTTTCTTTCCTTCTTTTAGCCCCTGTGACCCCAAGAATCAGGCTGGGGGTTTTGTCTGCTTCCTTTGCCTTTTTTCAAATTTAAGCACAGACAATTGAGTCCTCAGATGATAGAACTTGAGCCACGGTGACTTTGGAGGCAGGATTCCAGGCTGAATATTGCTGCCAGCCCAATAGGGAAGCCCAGCCAAGCCAGACACAGGCCAAAGGGGAGTCTGGGCTCGGAACTTGATGCGATTTTGCTAAATAGGAACTGAGCTAAGCCAGCAACCCAATCCCTCTCCCCTCCCTAGTGACTGAGGTGGTGTAAATGGGGATTATGCCCCTGCACATTGGGAGGAATATTTGCTCTTGCTATACCTTTGAAGGAAACATTCTTTTGTAAAAAGTGACTCTTGACTGTTATGTGGTTAAATTGGAACTGGGGTGCAGGGGACTCTTAAAACTGGGGAAATAACATCAGTGGGCACTTGAGCCAATGGCAGAGAAACCAGATGCCCCAAACTCTACGAAGAGTACTGGAGAACCCTGGGGTAGAGGTGAAATGTAACAGACTTGACCTTCAGAAAGCAGGCACCAGAGTGGTCACATTACACATGTTAACAGAGCATGTGGCTGACGAGAGTAGAGGCACCAGTCCTAAGCTCCCTTGCCACCTCTCCAGGCCAGAGAAAGTGGGGATTTGGTTTTCTTAGGTATTGGGAGATGGAAAGAGGGGAAGAGCCTTAGAACTGAAGCCCTGTATCTGGGCTCTAGCACTTAAAAGTTGTAGGGCTTTGAGCCGATGGATTTGGGATAGGGAATGAGACATGCACACATATATGTATATATACATGTATGTATGTATGTATGTATGTATGTATGTATGTGTATCAGTCCTCCTGATCTATGTCTTTCCACTGGACTCTGATTGACTCTGGAGGAGGGAGTGAGGCTGGTGACTGCCTCACTTAAATCCAATTCACTTGCAAGTCAAGACATCACCCTCCTGATGTCATTGGTCCTTTTTGAGAAAGAAGTACAAACACCAACAACATGTGTATGTGTGTGTGTATTTGTGTACAGCTTTGGGGGGGCATTTGTCTTGCTTGGCAATATGTATTTGTTGCAAGAAATTTGCTTGTTTTCCTCTTTCCTTATCTATCTATCTATTTATTTACTTATTTACTTGTTCATTTATTTATTTATTTGTTTGTTTGTTTGTTTGTTTGTTTGTTTTTGTCTGTGGGGTGGGAGTGGGAGAGACAGAAAATAAATTTCCATTAATTTTTTTTCAAATAGGGACATGAGTATGGGGCACTACAGATGTGAAAAGCTACTTTCAGGCCAGGTCACTGTATTAGTTTTACAAATATGTTAAATAACTGATTTCATATATTTACTAATATACTAGATAAATTATTAGTTTTACTTAACTGTTCTACTTTTTACAAGAGACATTTCATGAAGTAGAAGTAATCTCTACCTATTTGTAATATAAATAGAAAACATCAATACATATGAATATATAATAAATATAAAATAAGTAAATACAAAATATCAATAAATATTAATATATAATAAATATAAAATAAATACAAAACATCAATAAACATGAATATATAATAAATAGAAAACATCAATAAAAGTGAAAGTGTAAAAATGAAGCCACAACAACAGAAGAAGTAGGTCTAGCAGAGACAGTGTGCCCGGTGAGGAACAGACCAATGAGATCAGCACAATCATACTACATTGCTGCCAGCAGGAGATTTCTCTTGCCCATGGATTCCCCCCACTCATGGGCCCTTCATGTATGATCCCTATGCATAGTACATCTCCCCACTGCTGGCATATGTACCTGGGAGAGAGTGTGCTCTGTGTTTGTAGGGGAAATTGTATATCCTTCTACCCTCTTTTACTAAATGCCTTTCCTTGAAAAAAAGAAAAGCAAAAATATATTTTTGTCCATTGAAAATATAAGATTAGGTTTGTTATCATTTAAAACAAAGGATAGGGGGGCAGCTAGCTGGTGCAGTGGATAGAGCACCGGCCCTCGATTCAGGAAGACCTGAGTTCAAATCCGGCCTCAGACACATAACACTTACTAGCTGTGTGACCCTGGGCAAGTCACTTAACCCCATTGCCTAAAATAACAACAACAACAACAAAAACCCAAAGGATAGACACAGTCCAAATGTAAATGGATATCTCTACTGGAGATTCTGGTCCTCAGCGCTTGCTGCCCAACAACAGTTGGGGGAGGCATAGAATCCAAAGGAGCCTCTTTCTGCGAACCTTCGGAGTGGTAGAGTTATTCTTGTTTTTCTGAGCCCTGGGCGCACCGAGGCTATTACATGTTGAACTAGCAGGATGTAGTGGGAAGCGTGCTGGGTTTGGGGTCAGAAGACTCGGATTCAGATCTCCGTTCTGTCACTCACCACCTGTGTAACCTTGGGCCGATTCTTTAACCGATTCTTTAACCAATACAAGCTTCAGTTTCCTGAGGATTGGTCCTGAGGTCTGTTCCAAGTGTGTTGTTATTGTTGTTGTTTAATTGTGTCTGACTCTTTGTGACCCCATTTGGGGTTTTCTTTTTTTTTTTGGCTAGCCAATGGGGTTAAGTGACTTGCCCATGGTCACACAGCTAGTAAATGTTATGTGTCTGAGGTCAAATTTGAACTCAGATCCTCCTGAATCCAGGGCCGGTGCTCTATCCACTGCTCCCTGGGGTTTTCTTTGCAAAGGTACTAGAGTGGCTTGCCATTTCCTTCTCCAGATCATTTGACAGATGAGGAAACTGAGGCAACCAAAGTTAAGTGACTTGCCCAGGATCACACAACTAGTAAGGGTCTGAGGCTGGATTTGAACTCAGGTCTTCCTGACTCCGGGCCTTGAGGCTGTATCTGCTGTACCACCTAGCTGCCCAAGTATAAATTCTCCAATTATAGGATCTCTTACGTGAGCTTTTCTTCTCAGTCCCTCAGTGGGAGCTGGAGCAGCATGGTGTAGTGCAAACAGTTTTTGGAGTCCAAGGACCTGAGTTCAAATCCCAGCCTTGCTTCTTATGGTCTCTGGGACCTTGGCCAAATCACTTCCTCTCCTTCAGGTTGGGTTCCTCCTCTGTGAAAGTGGGGTGGGTGGACTCAGTGATCTCTAAGGTTTCTTTCAGTTCTAAATCTATGATTGTAGGAGGAAGAAGCAGTTGGTTAATAATTACCTAGGAATGTGGGTGGATTGCCAGAAGTCTGCCAACAATCAGCAGACTTCCTAATTGGCTGACACCGAGTTTGTCATTCTAAACTGGGAAAGGAGCTTGGCCCAGGTGAACAGATCCCAAGTCTGCTTGGGATATTCCAGGCCAAGGTGGACCTTCTGTTTGAGAGGCAGTATGAGAAATGAATGCAGGACATGGATTCTAAGGTGATGGGGAAATCCTGTTGGGCCCACATGTACTCAGCCTGGAGAATTTGAGGGAAATAGGATGGAGCAATGGAAATTAGTATTAGATTTGGAGTCTGAAGATTTGGATCAGAATCAGAATGCAATGGAAAGAGTACTGAGCTTGAGGTCAAATCCTGGTCCTTGTTACATGACCTTGGACAAGTCATTTGATTTCTCTGGGCCTCAGTTTCCTCTTCTGTAAAATGAGGGGGTTGGACTAGATCACCTCTAAGGTTACATCT